TCAAATATGTAATTACTCTAAGTACAAAAACCAAATTTGTAACTTAGACCAAGTATGTAATTTTTTCTAAGTACAAGGACAAATACTATACTTACTCTAAATTACACTACACTAAATATACGGATTAAATGTAAATTACTGTAAAAACAATGACTAAAATTGAAACTTACTATAAAGCAAAGAGAAAAAATTGAAACCCTATTTTTAGACGAAAATCAATGCGGCTATGAAGAACATGTCCACAATTTGCGGACAAATCCGTGATTTGCGGACCAGTTCTTCATGATAGTATTGATTTTCGGCCAAAATTAGTGTGTATAATGAAGATTCCTTCATCAAAAAACACGTAAAACACATATTCAATATAGGGAATAAATATGTATTTATAAAGTTTAACATGCAATCGAACTACAATCATCTAACATACTTAAAGAAATTGGTTTAAGTTTAGATGGGATAGGGAAAAGCTTACTTGATGGACCATGAAAGAATTCTTGCGAAGATAGTGATGTAAAAGATGAACTTGTAGACAAAATACCACTTGCGGAGAGAAATTTTCTTGCAGAGATGATTGTTACGTATACAAATGGATGATCCTCCTACCCTTTTTATATAAGAGGTAAAAGGGGTAACTCCCACATGCTGATTTAATGGTGGTGGGTAAGACGTTATTGCGGAAGAAACCCCCCATACGTTGCTTTCCAAAATATTCCATTAGGGTTTCTCCCTGGGCCAACAAGTGGCACCTCCACAATACTTGCGAACCTAGGTAGAAAATGTAAATTTTTTTACCGTCACGGACCAAGTTCACAATTGTTGGTTTTGATTCAATGACGAGATTAATTCTCGGATAGTTACATTGTTATTAATGGACGGTTACAAAACATCACATTATCATTAATGGACGGTTACAGAACATTTTATTGTCATTAATGGACGGTTATAGAACATCTCATTGTCATTAATGGACAACAAAAATCTTTTTCCAAAATAACCCTTGTAAATATTGTTCACTTATATTACCTTGTCTATGTGTACAATTATTTACACTTTATGTTATGCATGATCTAACCACAAATTTTAAAGATCAATGGTCAAGATCAGTTAACAAAGTTAATACAAATGAACTTGCCCCTATATATATATATATATATATATATATATATATATATATATAGGGGAGCGATCAAATGCAAAC